GGGAAAGAGAACACAGAAGAACAGAAATAAGCAAATCAGTAATTTGGTTGGGCAGAGGCATGGGGGAAAGCCTGAAGAAGCATTTTCATCAGAAACAAATCTTGAACGCTTTTCTAAAAAGGTCAGTCCACATACCAGGACACAGTGAGTAGAGGCAGTGTACAGAACACACTCTGCCCCAAGACCATGGCAAGGTTATAGGAAAATAAAATACAGTCAGCCATATGTATCCATGGATTCTGCACCTATGGGTCCTACATCCTAGGACAACTAACCACATGTTGAAAATATAGGGGAAAAAATTCCAGAAAGTTCCAAAAAGCAAAACTTTAGTTGGGCTGTGCACTGACAACTATCAACATTGTACGAGGTATTAAGTAATAGATGATTTAAAGTATATGGGAGGATGTCCTAGGTTACATGCAAGTATGACACCATTTTACATAAGAGACTTGAGTACCCGAGAATTTTGGTATCTGCGGGGATTCTGGAGCCAATCTCCGTGGATACGGAGGGACAGTTGTATGCAGTGCTCAGTTCAGGGACAGTTGAGAATAGGACAGGAGTAGGGACAGTATTAACATACCTAATGCTGTATAAGGTCTCTAGTTTTCCAAGGAAAAATTCTCAAATCCTTCCCTCTCACTGTAGTAATTCCACTTTGTGGGTGCTTTAACAACGTCTTTGGACACTCTCTCCTTATCTGTCGTGGTTTCAACTTGGCTTCCTAGGTAAGCCTGGGTACGCTGTCCAGTGAGAACCCTGGGGAGTTGCCATTAGCCATAATTTTCTTCCCTGAAGACTCAGCTCCCCACTGCACTAGCCAATCCTCAGGCAGCTCAGTCGTAAAGGCCCTGGAAAACTTTGCTGATAATATGATCAGAGATGTTTACAGGGATGATCCTGAGGCCCTGAAATTCTCTGCACCATCCCCAAACACCAACGAATTAGTCAACATGTTTGGTGTAGGTTCATGGTACTTATTACCATCAAATTATTTTTAAATAACCTTGTATGATATAATTTTGGTGGTGCTCAAACCTACAGTCAGAGAGGCAACCAAACTTGGGAGTCTCACGGGGTGTTTTCCCCGGGAATTCTGCTGCTGGAACCTCTCCCCCAGACCTTCTTTTTCCTGTTAAGACACAAGAGTTGTCCTGTCCCCTTTCCTCATCTGGCTAAAAAGTGTGGGCCACTTTGGTTCTGAAGATCTTGAGACCCTCCCACAAGATCTTGGCATCCTAACTGAACTGTGACCATAAGCTGAGAACCAAGATTAACTGGAAAGCTCCATTTACTGACTCTAACTGAATAACAGTTACTTTGTTTTCTGGACTTGCAAATTAATTAGGTAGAGAGATGAAAACTCTACTTAAAAAATGTGTTTTCTGCTGCACTTTTGTTGATCTGTATTTGAAATAGAAATTTTCTTGGGGGTGGTGGTGGATTTTTCAGGACAACCCTCTGGAATTTTTGTCATATTTTCTGCTGAAGAAATGTAGTAAAAAGAGCAGACTTTGAAGGAAATGTTATTCTGACAAAATGTGACCCAAAGGCAACATGCAATTTACTCATGAAGGTAAAGTTGCTGCTTCATTTTTATGCCATTGCTTCACTGTACAGTTAGACACATGTGCTTAGGAAATTCATAAACAAAAATGATAATTCTACCTGGAAAGCTTTCACCTGGTCATCTCTCCTAAGAACTTCCTTTTCATGGATTATTATTAAAAAAGTATGCTTTGTAGTTTCATAATGTGAGTAACATCTAAGCCACTTACAGGCATACGTGGTATCACACTGATGGGAGTAAAACTAGTTGGCTTTTGGGGGAAGAACTGGATACTCGCATTCTGCCCAACATAACCTAAAGAGTTTTTTTTTTCATCTGTGGCCCAGGACACTTTTTTGGTGAAACTAAAAGTGGTTCTTCTTTTTTTTTTTTTAATTTAATTTGAGATTCAAATTCATAAAAGTAAAAAAGTGGGTTTGAAGCTAGTTCTTTAGTCAAGAAAAAATAATTTTGCCAGTACTATATTCAGAATCCGTACATTCTTGGTTAAGTGAAATAATCTGGATTCAGGAGACACTGAAAATTGCATCGTCATTCAGAAAGCTGATTTCTATGAAAATGTCATTTCATGCCCATTGAAAAAGCACCTATCTGTGATGACTGAAGGCTTGGATGCCACCCCCAACACAAAGTCACTATGGACAGTGTTAGGAGGAATAGGCTTGTGGGTTCCCCCAGCAGGCAAATCGTGTGTTGCCCCATTAACCTGATATTCTGGAAGTTTTTGTCCACCTGGCTTTAGAGGACAGCACAGTGCAGGGAGGGGCAAAAAGAGTGGACGGCTGGAGGCAGCGTCCCCTCCACCAGACTTGCTCAGCAGAACGGAAGGCCTGCAGTTATTCAGCCCCCGCCCTCCGTCATTAGCAGACTGTGCACCTTAGCGGCCCCTCCTCCCCCTGAAGTGGCTTATTCTTCCCAACCACAAGCATCCTCCCCGAGAGGAGTCTTAATAAACACATTCGCAGGGACATCTAAACCCTTTAGAGGTCAGAGCCCTGCTTCCCTGATGCCCCACCCCTAAATCTCTCTCTTCAGGAAAGGCTCATGGACCATGTATTCATCAGGGTTCTCCAGAGAAGCAGAACCAATAGGATGTGAGTGTATATATAGAGAAAGAGATTTGTTATAAGGAATTGGCTCATGCAGTTATGGAGGCTGCCAAGTTCTAAGATCTGCAGCATGAGTCAGTGAGCTGGAGACTAGCAGAGCTAACGGAGTAATTCCAGTTCAAAGGCAGGGCAGGCTAGAGACCCAGGAAGAGCTGATGTTTCAGTTAAAATACAAAGGCAGGGAAAAGCCAATGTCCCAGTCTGAAGGCTATCAGGTAGGAGGAATTTTCTCTTACTTGCAAGAGGGTCAGCCTTTTCGTTCTACTCAGGCCTTCAACTGATTGGATGAGGCCCATCCACGTTAGAGAGGACAATCTGCTTTAGTCAGTGTCCTGATTTAAATGTTAATCTCATCCAAAAACATCCTAGCAGACATACCCAGGATAATGTTTAGCCAACATTTGGGCACTCTGTGGGCTGGTCAAGTTGGCATATAAAATTAACCGTCACAAACCACTTCTCAGGCAGAGGTCAAGTCCCCAGCTTCTCAGTTCAGTTCCCTAAATACTTATAGGAAGCAATCATGTGCTAGGCACTGTGCTAGCCCTGGGGATAGACATAAAATAACACACAGCCTCTGCCTTTGAGGTGGATAAGACTGACACATACATAGATGGCGCAGCATGATAAATGCCTGTTAGCAGAATGCACAGGACAGGGTGGGGCACAAGGGCCGGCATTTAATCGAGATGCTCTTTCTGCTTCTCAGAGTCCTTTTGCCTTGTTATGGTGGCCACTATCTCTTTGAGATTTCTGAGGATTATTCTCCCAAAAAGGTGGATGTAGTCTCCATCTCTCCTTCAGCCTGTGAAAACCTTTGAAAAATAGCACCCAGGGCTCCAGTACCACTCATTTCCCCTTGGTTCACTAAAGGGAATAATCGACATGTAACCACATCACACAGGTTCCAAATTATTCCAGAGTCCTTACCACATCTGGGTCATTCCTGACTCCCTGGAAACCTTACTGAAGTTCTTCCATCAACCTTTATTCCTAAGAATGAAGCTGTCACCCTCAACCATGGACATACAGGCCCCAGAAATGCCCTTCTTTGGAGCAGGATAGCTTGAAGAAAGCAAAAGGAACAAAATAAGTGCCTCTTCTTGTGAAGTGTTCATTTTACATCTGAAAGACCTTACTATTGTTGAGAACAATTTCTGGAATCTCTGGCCCCTAAAAGAATGGTCACCTAGAACATTTCTTCTCAAAGATACTTTCATTCTTTCCACTTCCAAATAAAATCCACACTGAATTAAGTCTTTTAAACCTAATCATCTAATCACTTTAGTAAATTGATGCAGAAAGTTTGGGCTTAAAGTTGCCTCCATGCTGGAAATCAGGCCTGCTCTTGTTACATTGTCTGCCTGTAATAAAACTACAGAAATGTGAAACACCTTAATGCCTAGGAATGTCTTTGATATCTTCCTTTTTCAAAATCAAATCAGAAAAAATAGGTGTTAGATTCTTATTTGGTTCTCTGTTATACACTTGAGAGCTTGTGCATGATGCCCATGAAGCAAATTTGGGGACCCTAGGAAGGAAAACCACAGCTTAAACGTAGGTGCTGAATTCAGGTAAAATAGAGAAGCTGAGTATCTCTACACCTTGGGGTTTATTTTTAAAAGTGTAGATACTCGTCCAGAAGAGCACACAAACTCTCAGCCATAGGAGTGGAAAGTAATGCCTTCTTCTGAGATAATTGTTTTAAAGACTCTTCCACAGGGGCTTGTGTAAGAGGGCTTGTCTGCCAAATCCAGGACCAAATACACACACACACACACACACACACACACACACACACACACGTATATACATATAGATACATATATAGCTCACTCTATCTATCTATCTATCTATCTATCTATCTATCATCTTGCTGCCCAGTCAGTAGTTAACTCCTGGCCTTGATGTGCCTATAGTGTTTACACTGATACTATACAACCACAGTGATGAGTCACAGCCAGAATCATAGTTGTTCTTGACAATGACATATGACATAGTTGTACCTGTCATTTTCACAACTATTTCTGGTCCCTAATGCAGGCAGCCAAGTGATTTCTGGGAGATGCGCCAGCAATAACTAGGATGTTAGCAATAACTAAGATCCTAGAGGAAAATTCCTAAGATGTGATCCAAGGTCTTGCTTACGGGTCATGGACAGAGCCAAGGCAAAGGCTCAGCAACTCCAAATAATTGTTTTCTTAAAAATGTGCGCAAAGTTTGCTGCCCCTGTTACTTCATCCAAATTCATCCCTAAAAACGAAGAGGGGATGGTGTCTTAACCAAAAAATAGACTCTAAAAATCCTAATAATTAGATGGATAATATAAAATGAGAGAACTCACTGTTTTTAGGTTCAAACACAATTACTGCGTCAAACTGATTTCCTAGCCACAGAGAAAAATTTACCTTTAAAAAATACTGTTGCTGGAAATTCCCTGGCGGTCCAGTGGTTAGGACTCTGCACTGCCACTGCAGGAGGCCCAGGTTCGATCCCTGGTCAGGGAGCTAAGATTCTGCAAGACACTCAGCATGGCCATAAAGTAAATAAATAAAAAATTTAAAAAGCTGTTGCTGAGCCAGAGGTGAAACAAAGCCCCAGTATGAGCAAGCAGGTTCTAGGATAGCCAGGGGGGTCTAGGAGTCCACTCCTTAAGTTTAATGCCTGAGCACTCATGAGGGCCTGTACAAAAAGATGATATCCCAGATAAGGGGGCCTCCCTCGTCTGTGGGATCCACAATCCGATCTGTACCGCTTGGGTTCTCTTAACCTCGGCCAGGCAGGTTGAGTTTCATTTTCATTTTACGCCTGCAACCACGTCTACCTACACAACTACGGGTGTCACCCTGACTGGCTGAAGTTATCATTTCTCCATATAAATTATCAGCACTATAATTTATTTTGAAAGAAGAGAGTGTTCCACGCATAGAAATTATTGTGTCAAAATTCAAAGTAGATTTAAGTATAAATACATGCCAGGCCGCTATGGGTCAGCCCCGAACGGGGAAGACAAAAGACATGGCAGAAAGGCTCTGTGGGGCAGCTGTGAAGCGCTCAGGCTCAGGCGCTGGCTGGCTGCATGCAGTTCCAGGACCAGGGCTCTTATACAAAGGCTTCAGGCAGCCATAAGGGATGGCTGCAGGTACAGAATAAAAAGTTGTTTTTGCCTGAGTAGAGTAAGGCAAAAGGAGTCTTGCTTATAAATTGGTGTTTTTCTTTCAGTCTCCCTCCTACATAGGTAGTTTTATCTTTGACTAGGAAGGGCAGCAGTAGTGGCCATTAATTATCATACGCCTCAGCACAAACATGGGACCATTGTTCCGCTGCTGGGGTGGACCCTGGGATGCTGCAGGCCGAAGGGGGGGGCTTTTTTTTTTAATGTGCTAAACTATATGGAAGCCACTAGAACAATTAACAAGGCAAAGTAAAGAAAGAATAAGCCATAGTTAATGTGGAAACATCTAGAAATGGCATGTGAACTACTTCTGACACTTTTTCACGAGGTGAACAAAGAGGTGAACTTTATAAAGTACTGTGAGCTTTTGCTTCTGGCAGCTTAAAAGCAAGATAACTTGTTTGTACTCTGCTGCCTGGTGACAGAGCAGAGCTGAGGCAGAGGCCTGGTTCCAGGCACCTGGGAGGAGCAGCTCAAAAGCAGAATCCCTCTCCTGACTCCAGGGGAACGGGAGCTGCACTGAATTTAGTTTCTCAAGTATCATGCAGTTCCTAGGAAGCAAAAGGTTATTACTTTTTTTAACGTAAAATTTAATTGGAGAGGTATCAAATTTGTCGAGTGCTTAATTCATTGTGTCTCAGGGCCGCTATGGTTAAGGCTGAAGGGCAGAGCTTCTGAACCCTCAGGGGGCTTGGCGCTGACTGGGCAGTTAGACATCCCAGGGCCTGCCCCAAATAACCAAGTCTGCATTTAATCCTCAGGAAAGAAATGTTATAGAAGATAATCCTAGGGACACAAAATCAAGTCTCAGCAAAAACGGTCCAAATTTTGAGTTACTGGTTGAGTTGTTAAGCCAATTATCACATAATAAGAATTTTCTATTTGTTTTGCTCCTGACCCCCCCCCCCCCAAAAAAAAAAAAGCTATAAGGCATGAGGAAAACAAAGCACAATGAAAGAAGTTGCTCCTTATCAGCATATCAGCAATGACTTTAAATGTAAATAGGTAAATAGGTAAACATTATTCAGACTCCTACCAAAGACAGAGACTGGCAGAATGGACAAAGGCGTGATGCAAGCACATGCTGTCTGCAAGAGACTCACTTTAGATACAAAGATACAAAGAAGCTGGAAGTGAAAGGATGGAAGAAGGTATTCAATGCAAAACAGTACAGCAGTTTCTGAAAAAGTTTTTTAAAGAATTACCATATGACCTAGCAATTCCTTTAAAGCGGGTTGCCCCCAGGAACCCAAGTGTCTCCCCCTGAAAAGGGGGATGGACCCCCGCCCCCCCCCCCCCAAAAAAAAAAAAAAAGCTTCAACCTTTATCCTGGTCTAAAAAGAAGTTGAGGCAAGAGGATGGACAGGATGGACGTGTAACATCTCGGCAGCAAGAGCCATCTCTGTGCTACTCCTTGCTTTTCTGATAGGACACTAGGATGGCATTTAAAGAAATGGTACATGGACATGAAGGTTCACAGGGTTTAACCGACCCATCAGCTATGGTCTGACTTCAAACGCTGAATATAAGCAATATAACTTTTAGGGCTCTGTCTTTCCGTTTAGAAAGGGTAGTAGTGGGTGAAGCAGGTACAGACAGGCAGAGGCTTGGTCCTGTGCGACAGTAACACACAGTGCATGCGTGCCATCTAGCTTTTCTCCAACACACATCCACATTTATTATCACGTTTCAACCACAGAATCCTGTAAGTCAGGTGTTAGAACCCACATTTTGTGAAGAAGTAAAGTCAGAAAACTTAAAGGATTTCCCTAAGGTTAGACAACAGGCAAAGAGAGAATCTTGAATCCTGCCGCGCAGAGCTCAGCCCCAAGCCTCTTTCCCAGTCACACAACACCCAGGGCTGGTCCGCCTACAGTGGATGGTGCCGCCGTGGACCTCGCCGGCCCCTCGCTCACTCATCCCCAAACCCAACCCCAGGAACCACCAAGGAGGGTATTTACATAGTGCAGTCATTACGATAGAATCTCATCCGACTATTGGTAATAATACCTGACAATGGTTTTAAGACAACGACAGAAGTTTTGACAACTGAAACCTTAAGTCAGAATGATGATAAATATTAGATAACTCCAGTATTTTAAAAATATGTAAATACACATAAAATATAATGTGGGCTGTAAGCCAACTGCCAAGTGGGATATAGATGTATTTTTTAACTCATTAGATATGTCTAAATAGGCATTATATACAGACCATGTGTTTGAAAGATAAAACTTAACCAAGAACAGTGCTTATAGTATTTCAAACAGAATGAGTTTTCTGATTTTTCTCTTAAATTACTTTTACATTTTAATTTTAGTTCATGAAATTATGGTTGACATTTCAGGTGAAGATCACATGGCATTACACGTTAGTATTGTCATATTTTATTTGGGGCAGTGTGGGGCAGACCTAGGGCTGGAGGGGAAAGAGGAAATTGTGTTCTAGGAGTTTTAATCTTTCTAGGCTCAAATAATAAAAGACCATTAGATTTTAAAAAATTGAATACTGTAATTGTTTTCTATTGTAAAGATACTAATTTTACAACTTTTCAAAAGTACAAATATAAGGAAAGGAATTACCTAGTCCCAGTAAGGAAAATTAATTTCTCCATACATAAACATAGCACAGTTAATATCAGGATGTGGGATTTCTTTACACCAGTGTATGGCTTTTCCCTCTGCATTACAAAATAAAACAGGACTTTGATATATAGAAAATACAGACCACCTGGCAACCTAATTACCCAGGAGTGGTGGGTTCACAGGTACTTTTCCCTAAACACGGAAAGAAGAGCCTGAGTGTCGGTGGAAACTGGTGGAAGGTCTTCGGTGGAAGGACCACCTGACTCAACCTGCGTCCTCACTTCTCATCTCCTCCTCTCCTGTCAAATCTGAACTGCTCAGTGTCGAGACAAAAGGATTTGACAAAAGCCCTGCCCTAAACGACTGTCCACGAATTTAGTTTTTAAGTTTATATGTTGTCACTAGCCAATATTTCATGGCCACACTTTCCTCATATTGCAGGTGGTTTCTAGATGACTTGAGAGACAGACTACAGGAATGGGGCCCCAGCTCACTGCGTGGGAGAAATATTCATAAAGTTTGGAAGCCTGTTGAACATATACACCAATTTCTTCAACAATTACCCTGTTATTCCGAAAACTATGGAGAAGGTAAAGGATTGAGTGACCATCCAGGCACTTATTAGCCCTTCTGAGCTTGAGAGAAGTTTCACGTGTAACCCGAAGGACTAGAATTACCAGGAAAGACTTCTTCTCTACTCTTCCAGATCTTCTCTGGTTTACTGTGAGCTCCTTGAGGACGGGGACCCTGACTTACCTAATTTTGTGTCGCTATGGGCTGGCACAGTGCTTGACCCAGCAGTGCCCTGGAACTGGTTGTGGGACTGAACTAATCCTCATGCAAATTGCCAGACTCCCACCTGTCCCAGTTACCCAGGGGCTTGGTTACAGGAACGTGCTTCACAGTGAGACAGAAGCAAGACTGTTAACCCTGATTCCATGCTGCCACTACAGGCCTGGGCGGCCTGGGCAAGTCCAGCTCTCTCATGGAGAAAAGGAATTCATAATCCACACATTGGAATAAAAACACTCAATGTGTGAAATCTCACGATGAAATAAGGAGTTCCTTTGTCTTACATTCCCGAGCGAGTGCATTATAAACAGCTGTCCCTGTTGTGACTCCTGCCATACACTGTCTGAGCAGGAATATGCAGCTGCCGTCTATGCCCCTTACTGCTCTTGTTGGGATCTCCTCTGATGGCAGTAGGATACATCTCTTCCCTCCTCAGTTTACATCAAAAGGATAACAGGAGAGGCACCCTGTGACGTGGTGGTGCACTCTGCCACTGTCCCCACGTCCACTGTGGCCATGTCCACCTGTCTGCACTGAGGCCCTGAAGGGAAAGCCTGGGGCTGGGAGGTCTTTGGACGATTCCTGACCTCAGACATTGCCCTTTGCTGTCCTCTTCCTGCCCCACCTGGGAAGTTTAAACACTGCAGGACAACTCGATTATGTGAAAGCTGCATGAATAAAGCAATTTCATAGAACTGACTTTTAGGACAAGAATTGGAACAAAGCATCACATATTATCATAGGCAAATTTGTGCCAACATTTTTATAGTTATGGATAATAATGTATCTATTTCACTAGCATGGGGGTGCATATAAGTAAGCACGCAATAAATGTTAGCTCTTAACATTTCTGAAATCAGTGACTATTTGACTTCTAGAAATTAGCATTACTGCCATCTGAGAAAAATGAGGTAACTTCCTGGGGGCTGTAATGGTGATGAATAATACATTTTAAAACAGGTATTAAATACAGTGGAGCACCTTGTTAATGTTGCTGTGGAAAACATGCTTAACAGCAGTATTACAGGTGAACCCATTAATAGTCTCTTACTATTAGGAAATAACCTTTATTGTGTGACAGGCACTTTACAGATAGGATTTGCCCCCTCCCCACTCACTGCAAGGTTAGATATGATATCCATGAGAAAACTGAGGCTCAGAGAAGTTAAGTAACTTGACAAAGTCACATAGAATTAGATAGAATTAAATTAGAATTCTAATTCTAATCCAGGCCTACCTGCACGCAAAGCCCATTTTCAGTTTTCTATACTTATTAAGTTCAATGAATAGGGTTAGGTTTATAGTATAATTAAAACACTATACTTAGGATATCAGTAAGCACCTATAGTGTTAATGATACTGTGATTAGATGTAGATGTTGCCTTTTTGCTTTTGAGTGCTTCACAGATGGTGCTTGCCTGGTAGAACAGAATGCTTTAAAACTGTCTTAGAGTTTTGACAATATAATGCTCACCTTTAGTGCAGAGAAATGATACCAACATTCTGAGCTTTCCTGAAGAGGCATGATAAAACCATTGTTACAAAGATGCTGAGGTAAGCTCTGATGGAGAGCACAGCCGGGGCACCCCAAGTATGGGCGTTCTCTGGCCGTCAGAAAGAGACCAGGGCTCCCTTGTCTGTGCCTCATACAGCCTTCCAGAGATGCTTTTGTACCCATCCCGAAGGTCTGAAGAATATATTCATCTTCTCTACACTCTGAGGCTTCACACTTCTGCAGAACATGTTGACCACGGGACTTGACCACTGCAATTGAAGTAATCAAAAAATACAAAGGTTACATAGATCAGGTTGGCTGCTGCTAAGAGCCTGTGTCCTTTAAAAATGTTTCAGTGCTTTTGTGTACTCTAACTCAAAGATCCTGAAATACCTTATCCTCCTGGGGTATTCTTTACTTCAAAGTCTTTCATCCTTTTAATGTGAAATCATTGTATTCAGTGATTTTGAGCTCGGAGGGCACCTATTCTAAACCAAATCACACGAGACAATGTTTTCAGATACCTGTAGAAGTACAATAAAATCTTTATTAATATAAAAGTTTAAAAAAATGGAGTATTTGGGTGATTTTTCTAGATAACTAAAAGAAAAGAAAAAGAGTAAAGCCCTTTGTTTCTGAAAGTACTTTTTCATGTATTAACTTTCCTGCCTAAGTAAGTACAGCAATCACAACTATGTTCTGCAGGAATTCAGCATCTTGAAGTATGATACTATCATTCTGAAAATATCAGTGACGTGCACAGTGCACGGGAGTCTGGGCTGAATGTAAATGACAGCACATTATGCCCAGAAGAAATTTTTGAATACAGTGTTGTCGCTAGCCTCATTGTTTTAAAACATATTGGGTACAGGAAATAGAGATTCTTATAATAGTTTACGAAAATACCGTGCCCTTATCAAGTGCCATAAAATATTTTAATCTATTTTTTATGTATAAAAATATCACAATTTCAGTTTCCCTAAAATCACTTTGCTTTCTAGATGAAGCAGAACATCAATATGAAAGATCAGCTGTCAGACATAGAGAGAATCATCTGTGGGTGCCCGGTATGTATTCTGATGCACTTGCTCCATCTCATGCTCATGAATTATAACCTCAAGTCACTGGCAAAAAGGAGACATACAGATTTTGATTCAGCTAACATCCATTGAGTGCCTGCTGTGTGCCAGGGGCTGCCAAGCTCTCATATTCCACATCCCTGTTATTGGCAAGGATGCTAGATGAGAAGAGGCACAAGTGGTCTTGACCCCATCCCGTAACTTCTCTGCAGTCTTAGCACCTTTCTTGGGACTACTGTGATCATGACCCCCTTTGGGGAATGGGGCCGTGTCTTTACTGTTTTATATCTCCCTGTACATAGTATCTGGTGCAGGATTCTGCCCACTGAGAACATCAGCGGGAATCCTAGAAGTCCTCTGCTGGCTATCTGTTACCTATGGAATATCATCTGGTCCCATTCTACCCTCCTTCTCACTGCCTTGCCTACCACCTTATGATCAAACCACACAAATCTACTCACAGTTCTCTAATAACGTGAGCCTCTCTTCACACATTTGTGCTTTGCCCATGCTCTTCCGTCTCAGAAATTGTCTTTTTCTACTCCACTGGATAAACTCCTATTCATCCTTTTCGGATCCATTTCAATCTTCATCTGCCTTGTAAAGTATCCCACAACATCTCCAGTGTGAGCTGCCCCTTACTAGGTATTCTGCAGCACCCTGAAGGTCTCTGCCACGTTTTCCTTCAGTCCTTTATTCACAAGATTGGGAGCTCCATCAGGTATGAACTATGATTTACGTGTCTTCTAGTGTTCAGCGTATACTAGGAGTTCAATATATGAATTATATTGAATTAAAATATCAATTGACTGGAAGTGTTATTGTTATTTGCTCAAACTGGGGAAGCAAGGTGGAGTTGTTTGGGCCTCATTTAGATCTTCATATTTTGATAGGGATAGAGGTGGAGTTGATTGGATTACAGAAAATCCAAAATCTTGGAACTCACAGAGCCCACAGAACTTTACCTTTGGATCACTATACACATCAAGTGATCATCTCCATGGCTAGATCAGTAAAAGGGCCTGACTTAATTTGTAACATTTCATTCACCTCTTTTTCTCCATAGATCCCTTCTGACTCACCCCACCCCCACCTTATTTTTGATGCTAGGAAAGCATTTATAATAAAACAATGTTTTCAATAGTTTAAAAATTAGACTACACCCTCAAATATAGTTTTCACTGTTTCACAAACAATGCTTTTTCATAATTGAACTGAGTTCTACTCAACACTTACATCTTCTGGGATATAAAATGGTTCTTCAGTAGTGGAAATTATTTTCTAAAAATTTATATATTTCTAATTTTGTTTTTTTTTTTTTTTATACACAATGTATTTATTTATTTATTTATTTATGGCTGTGTTGGGTCTTCATCTCTGTGCATGGGCTTTCTCTAGTTGTGGCAAGTGGGGGTCACTCCTCATCGCGGTGCGCAGGCCTCTCACTATCGCGGCCTCTGTTGTTGTGGAGCACAGGCTCCAGACGCTCAGGCTCAGTAATTGTGGCTCACGGGCCTAGTTGCTCCATGGCATGTGGGATCTTCCCAGACCAGGGCTCGAACCCGTGTCGTCTGCATTGGCAGGCAGATTCTCAACCACTGCGCCACCAGGGAAGCCCTCTAATTTTGTTTTTTATTTCATAGACTCTATCAGAAGTAAACAGATATCTGATTAGGGTCCAAGATGTAGCCCAACTTCACTGCTGTGATGAGGAACTAAGTTTCTCTTTAAGGTAAATATTTAACTATCCTATGGCTGTGACTGTGTCATATTTATCTTGTACCCAGAATCCAGTACAATGTCTGTCATATTGTAAATTTATGATAAATCTTTGTGTTGAACTAAAAAGTTACACACACACCCCTCTCTGAGACGACGTAAGGTGTTTTATCACCTTACTCGCATACCAGGCAGCTACTGGGTAGAACGGAAGAAACTAGATTGTCATTGCCGGGACCACTAACTCCACTGAAAGAGGAATTCTGAAGTTTGGTCACTTTCCTACTGAGAGGAGAGCCAAGTGTTGCGGGGTATCACATGGATGATCTGCTCAACTCTGAGAAAGAGACCAGTTGATTGTCCGCAGTTAGTTACTGAGGTCAGTATTCAGAAGGTCTCACCCTAAGACCACCATGGTATTGAGGTCTCACATATCTAGTTTGTACAGTGCTCACAGTATAAGAACTATTGTGACGAGAGGGTGCTAGCATTCCCTTTCCTCCTTTAGAACAAGGATGGGCAACCTTTTTCTGTAAAGGGGCAGATGGTAAGTATTCTAGGTCTTTCTTGCTGAATGATCTCTGTGGCAACTACCTAACTTTGCTGTTGTAGCACAAAAGCAGCTACATAAATACAATACATAATGAATAATACCATCTTCAAAAACAATACAATACCTAAGTGAATGAGTGTAGCTGTGTTCCAATAAAACTTTATTTACAGAAGACAAGGGGTGGGGCCATAGTTTTTCAATTCCTGCTTTAGAAAACTGTTTGCCAATCTATGTTTTCAGTATTAATGGCAAAGATGATAACTCAACAAAGAGCAACCAAATGGAGAGGAATTAACTGCAATAAAAGAAATGAAAATTGGTTTGCCTGTTATTTCAATGAATATTTCAGTGAATGTTTCCCAAGGGCCCAGGGCAGGGTGGTGGCAGTGGCAGGGGAGGGGGGAGGTTGGAAGAAACCAGTCCCTTCCAGTCCCTTCACCTCGATCCCCACCTGGAGTGGATATTAAATGAAAATCAAATCACACAGTCGTGTCACTTTTCTCATTGTCATGGTGTTTTTGTTTTGTTTTGTTGTTTTTGGTCAGTAGCAATAGAAATGAGCTACAATGGTAGAAGGAAACTAGCTGTCAAGCCAGCAATTCTAAACGCACTGGTGTAGTAGGAGACACGCTAGGGATTATTCCAGTTTTTTATTATTAGAATTTATTTTACTTTCATATATTCATTCTCAAACACTCTTCCTTTATGTAAGTCCAAGTTTCTGACTTATATAATTTACCTTTTCTCTGAATAACTTCTTTTAACATTTCTTGCTAGGTAGGTAGATCTGTTGGCAATGAATTCCCTCAATGTTTGTTTGGGAATGTCTTTATTTCTCCTTCACTTCTCTTTTTAGATTTTTTTTAATGTGGACCATTTTTTTTTTTTTTTTTTGCGGTATGCGGGCCTCTAACTGCCGTGGCTTCTCCGCTGCAGAGCACAGGCTCTGGACGCACAGGCTCAGCGGCCATGGCTCACGGGTCCAGCCGCTCCACGGCATGTGGGATCTTCCTGGACTGGGGCACGAACCGGTGTCCCCTGCATCGGCAGGCACACTCCCAACCACTGCGCCACCAGGGAAGCCCAATGTGGACCATTTTTAAAGTCTTTATTGAATCTGTTACAATATTGCTTATGTTTTACGTTTTTTTCCGCTTTTTGTTTTTGCTGTGAGGCATGTGGGATCTTAGCTCCCCAACCAGTGATCAAACCCGCACCCCCTGCATTGGAAGGTGAAGTCTTAACCACTGGACCGCCAGGAGGAAGTCCCTCTCCTTCACTTTTTTTTTTTTTTTGCGGAACGCAGGCCTCTCCCTGTTGTGGCCTCTCCCTTTGCGAAAAACAGGCTCCAGACGTGCAGGCTCAGCAGCCATGGCTCATGCGCCCAGCTGCTCTGCGGCACGTGGGATCTTCCCGGACCGGGGCATGAACCCATGTCCCCTGTGTCGGCAGGCGCCACCAGGGAATCCCCTCCTTCACTTTTAAAAAAAAATTAATTTTTGGCTGCGTTGGGTCTTCGCCGCTGGGTGCAGGCTCTCTCTAGTTGTGGCGAGTGGAGGCTACTCTGTTGCAGTGCGCAGGCTTCTCACTGCGGTGGCTTCTCTTGTTGTGGAGCACAGGCTCTAGGCACATGGGCTTCAGTAGTTGCGGTGCGTGGGCTCAGTAGCTGTGGCTCATGGGCTCTAGAACGCAGGCTCAGTAGTTGTGGCACACAGGCTTAGTTGCCCTGCAGCAAGTGGGATCTTCCCGGACTGGGGCACGAACCCATGTACCCTGTGTCGGCAGGCGGACTCTCAACCACTGTGCCACCAGGGAAGCCCTCTCTTTCACTTTTGAAGGATACTTTTTCTGGCTACAGAATTCTAGTTGGGTTTTTTTTCTTTCAACACTTACTTCACTCCCCCCTCTTCTTGCTTGCATGGTTTCCAAAGAGACATCCCGTGTAATCGTTACCTTTGTTCCTCTATAAGAAAGATGTTTCATTTTGTTTTGTTTTTCATTGTTGTCTCTGGATACTTTCAAGATTTTATCTTTCTCTTTGATTTTCTCAAATTTGTATGTGATATGTATAGATTTGGGGGTATTTATCCTTCTTGGTATTCTCTAAGCTTCCTGGACCTGTGGTTTAGTGCTTGTCAATAATTTTGGAAAATTCTCAGCCATTATTACTTCAACTATTTCTTCTGTTTCATCCTTTTTCTTCTCCATCTGATATTCCCATTAGACATTTATACACCCATTGTAATTGTCCCACGTTTTGGATATTCTGTTCCCTTCTTTTTTACTCTTTTGTTTTCTTTCTATTGATGTAGTTCAGGCTCACTGATTCTCTCCTTGGCTATGTCCAGTCTGCTGATGAGCCCATCAAAGGCATTATTCATTTCTATTATGGTGTTTTTGATTTCTAGAATTTCTTTTTAATTCTTTCTTGGAATTTCCATCTCTGTTTATATTACCCATCTGCACTTACATGTTGCCCACTTTTTCCATTAGAGTTCTTAACTTAGCTTATCTTAGTTATTTTAAACTCCCTGGTCTGATAATTCTAACATTTCTACCATATCCGAGTCTGGTTCTGATGCTTGCCATGTCTTATCAGACTGTGTTTTCCTGCCTCTTAGCATGCCTTATAATTTTTTTGTTGAAAGCTAGACATGATGTATTGGATAAAAGGAAATGAGGTCAATAGGTCTTTAGTATGAGGTTTTACATTTATCTGGCTAAATGTTAGCCTGTATTTACCATTTGTTGTAGCTGTAGTGTCAGAGGCTAAAATTTTCATTTTTGTCTCCCCTGTTGTCTTTGGGTTTTCCTAGATATTCCTTAAATAGGATTTGAACCTTGAAGTCCTTTTCAGCTATAATACCTTGTTATTATAAGGAGTCCTGTTGATGTGGTAGGAAGATGTGAGGGGAAGGGAAGAGTTTATGTCCTGTCATTAGGTCTCAGGTTTTTAGTGAGACTGTACCCCTGGGCTATGACCTTTACAAGTGTCTATCAGCTTTTTTACTTTTATTTTCTTATATTATTATTATTATTATTGTTAGTCACCTCTAAGATGAGACAGGAAGGTTAGAGGTAGCTGTGGGATTGGGTATTACCCTCTCCTCATCTTGGTTAGATTCTGGTAAAATTGTTTCCCTTGAAAGCAGGCCTTTGTTAAGAGAAAGAATAGGACTCTGTGGGCATGTTTCAAATGGTTACTTTCTCCCTCCCCATGGGAAGAATGAGGGTATTTTTCTGAGTTTCACAGTGAGAACCTGGTGAGGCTCCTGGAGGTAAAACTCCTGCAAGTTTTAAACTCAGGCAAGAGTGCGGGGGTATGGTGTGGGCCAGTGCTAGGCCTCCAGGAATTCGTAATCCCTTGAACTAGTTCACACTCAGGCTCTAGCCATTAGTCAACTACCCTTTAATATTCTTACCTGATGCTGGCTCCAGCAGGCAGTTTCTGCTTCCAGTAAGCTGTGATTCTACATATCAGCTTGTCTCTTCAGCTTTGGGGTGGTAATCTACTTTATAACCTCACTTCTTCGATGGACCTAAGAATTGTTGATTCTGAGTTTTCAGCTTCCTTTTTGTCGTGCGATGGAAGTGATGACCTCCAAGTTCTTCACACGCCCAACCAGAAGTCTCAAATATTAGAATTTAGACTCTTCTGCTTTAGTATGTGGACAACAGTACATTTGAGAGTTTCAGGAAAACGGGGGAACACTACATTATTTTACACTCTAATTACAAGGTACATTTATGTTTAAGTAGGCACTATCTCAGTGATTTGCCAAGCAATAAATACAAGTGTAATTTTACATTAATATTTAAATTAAGTAAATGCAAAAAAAGGTTCATATTCCAAAAGTTATCACAGAACATTTAGGCTGAAACCTTGTTTTCTGTCATGTTAGGAAGTCATATGAAACCCAAGAAATGACATTCCCACGATTTCTATCAGGGATTTCTACTTAGAGGAAGGTCTGCTTATACTTTTGCACACAGTGCCAACTCACATGAGTCTAAAGCTTTATAGTTTACCACATATTTTAACTTCTCTCATTTGATATACTCTTTACAATCATTTGGTGAGGAAGGTAGGAATGGAACCATGTTATGCGTGGGGAATCTGGACTTGAGTAACTTGTCTGAGGTCACATTACTAATAAGTGCTTGTTTAGAATTCAAAACCAGGTCTCAGTGTTCTATCCACTGATTAGACCAGCAGGTGGAAAGATGAACTGAGACTTCCTCATAATAAACTCACCAACATAGCAACAAGTACTAAACAAATTACCAATAAACAAGAGCGGTGACACAAAAAGAACAAGTAAATATTTGTACTACAAATGAAAAAATTTGCTCTGGGGTAGAGATGAAGTTACAGTCATTTTAGAGTTCGGAAATCTGGAGGCATTTGTCCCTCTGGATACGGCCCTCAGAGTTCTGGGTTTGTTAAGCTTTTATAATACATTATGTACCTTGGAATTTTTATATTATTGTTTTTTCAGAAACACCAATTTTCATCTATGTGACTTTAAGCTTGCTGATTTTTAGCATTCTTATTTATTTTTGTTCTCCTTCTAATGGGGGTGTCGCCAAAGATGCAAAAGTGGAGCCCTCTAAGACTGGTGAATACAGGCATGGCTTTAAATCACCAAATAGAGCCATCCACTTCTCAGACCCCTGAGTCCTCTTGAGGAAAAACACTACTACTACACTACCGAGCAGGCATACTGTTAACATTCCTTTTGGCTTACCCAAAGGGACCTACACTCATTTACCAGGGCAACTAGGCACTGGGGAAAGAAAAATACTCAGACTTCTCAGGGATACTGGACTCTGGCTCTGAACTGATTTTTATCCTGGCAACCCAAAAAGCCACAATGATCCACCATTCAGAGTTTTGGCTCAGGTCAGCTCACAGAACCAATGACCTACTGTTGTCTGTTCATGCCAAAGGTTGTGCTCTGAAAATTATTTTCAAAGTTTTATGTATTTATGGAAGTTGGGTACTTTGTCTCTTGGTCTGGCTAATGTAGTAATTAAACAACAAGACACTTCTCGAATGGTGTTAAGAATTTAAACTATGGTTGGCTGAGTCACTGAGCCTATTTGTGAATTAGCAAAGAAATCCTATCCAAGTTCAAGGAAAGAACTCTAACCTTGGAGTTGGTTCTTTTGAATGTGAGCAGAAGCAGCTTTATGAAACCCTAGTAGGATCCAGAGCTCCCATTTCAGTTGCTCCATTATGTCGGTATGAAGGGCAAAATTATTTCTTTTTACACGTGCAGAAGAACTGAGTTTTTAAAAAAAGATTCTGTTGTTCTTTGTCTTTGGATGAAAATTACTGGAGATCTTGGGGGGGTGTAAATGGCTTTCGGAAAGCTTTATTGTAGGTAAAATTCATTTATATATAATTTAAATAGCACTTTCCTAATCAGATTAAAATAATAAAAACCTCTTTGTGCGTTTCTTTCCCTTCTCATGTCCTCAGATTACAAGTGGCCTCAACGCCAAGCTCAAGTTAATGTGCCTGCTCCTTCCCTCCTCTGGGCCATCCACCCACCCAGTCCAAGTGGGTCACAAAACTAGAATTCTCCTTCATTTACCTCTACTTTCAATTCTGTCCCTTCCAAAGGAAAAAAATCAAACATCTGTTTACCAAGCAAACACCCCTTTCAAAGCTGCTTCTTCAAAACACTCTTGTAGGGCTTCCCTGGTGGCGCAGTGCTTGAGAGTCCGCCTGCCGATGCAGGTGACGCGGGTTCGTGCCCCGTTTCGGGAAGATCCCACGTGCCGCGGAGCGGCTGGGCCCGTGCGCCATGGCCGCTGAGCCTGCGCGTCCGGAGCCTGTGCTCCGCAAATGGGAGAGGCCACAACAGTGAGAGGCCCGCATAACGCAAGGAAAAAAAAAAAAAAAAACACACTCTTGTAGGCACATTCCCTGGTCAGTCAGATAGAACTGCAAAGTTTTATTATAGCTTTGAACATTTTTCTAAAATGATATGATTCTTATCAGTAGTAAAAATATTGCCAAAAAAGGGTCAAGAATATGGGTGAAGTTCTTTTGCCTATTTAAAGTGGCCATTCGCCACATACAGCCCACCACACACCAATTTAAACGCACCCCATCTTTCTTGCTTCCCCTCTCCCTCATCCCTAGCTCTATGTGCTCCATTATTCTCAGAATAACCTATCAAATTGATCTAGAACATTATTTCTTATAAACTATGAGTAAATATGAAGCATCCCACTCTTTCCAACCTAAATAATCACAGAGGTGGGAAGAAGATGTTTGAAAAAGGAAGTTAGCTCCAGTGGTTGGATGACCACTGCATTTCTATCCACACACCTAACGTGACCTGTATTTCCTAACACTCTCCAAAGAGCTGAACCTGAAGTATAGCACTCCTTAAAAATGTTTAACTCCCGACCTAGTCCTCTGCCTACGTCACACGCATGACTGTAATAAACAAACAACTTAAGTGCCTCACTAGTCAAAGTGTGGTTGGCATATCAGCATCACCCAGGAGCTGTTAGAAATGCAGAATCTCAGGCTAGTCTAGCTCTACCGAATCAGAATTTGCATCTTAATAAAATCTCTGGGTAATTCAGATGCACATTAAAGTTTGTACTATATATGTCAGAGCCATTATAATATAAAGTGGATTCTAAATGTGAATTATAGCCGCTTTTATTGAGAACAATCTGGAAGTCTTTGATAAAAATATGTATGCCATTTGGCCAGTCAATCCTACCCCTGGGAATCCTGATAGAAATAACAGCACACGTAAGGAATTTGTTTATATGTAAGGAAATCAATTTATCCCAACATTGCTCACAGTGGCAATTAAGAAAGAACAAATGAAAGGAGGAAGAGAGAGAGAGAGGGAAGGAGGGAAGAAAGAGACCTGAGCTTGTCAACAAAGCAAATGCCCATCAAATGGGGAAGAGTCAGATAAATCAGGGTTCATCCACACCATTAAGTATCACTTAGTCATTAAAAAGAACTTGAAGTGATTTCCATTGATGAGAAAATCAAGAAAAAATTCTCGAATAACACTTGAAACAATGGCACCCTACCTGTAAATAGATGTATATACAGGTACATCTGTGAGTGACTACCTGGGCAGGTTAAAGAAAAGTGGAAAGATGTGCACTAGTTTGGTAACTTGGGTGATGTGAGTGGAGGGAGGAGTGAGCCAAGCAAAAAGAAAAAGTGAAACAAAAGAACAGTACACGAAAAAAGCTGATAGTATATTCTGATGTTACTTCAGCATTGCTGTAAAACTTTATGTGGATCTAAATCAACAACTTAAAAATTAAACAAAGACGATGAAGATAAAAAATAAGAGAATTCCTCTGAATAAGCCAGTAAATTGACTCACTTCCTCAGAGTAACTTCCTGCGGGTTGCTTGATGCTTCTCAGCAAAACATATTTTCAGTCATCCTCCATCAAAATAATGAGCTTGCTGCACTTGGTCATTCCTGGTGGGGGGTGGAGATGGGGGGGGCCTCGGTGGGGCTCCCCGAAGCTCCTCCCTAGCACATCACTTGATGCTCCATTGAGTACTGACATGAGATAACCCATACTAGAGTACAGTGAAACCTACTAAACACTGTGACCTGGGTCCACCAACAGAAGATACTAGATGGAGGTTGGGGACACAATATTTTGCCTGCTGATAAACATGCCTACTGTTGACCATGGTAGCAACCCCTGTGGAAATGAAGAGCTACTTAATTCCAGCTTTTCATACTTATCAATTTTCCTCCTATCAAAATTAGAAAAATCCCTATTTCCTACTTAGTGAATGCTTTTCTTCCCTTGCTTCCTACTTAAGACACCTTGCACCTTACTGATTGTGCTTTTTTTCTAACCCAACGTGTTACCCTTAAAGATGAAACCAAACCAAATGAAAACGTATTTTCCCCAGATTGCCTAAATACATCAAACACAAAATACCAACCTTTTGACAAAAGTTTAAAAACACAGCTTTAACCTGATTCATGTCATAAAGTTGGGAAAGTGCAGTGTTCATTTTTCCTGCATTGATTGGGTATTTGTCCAATGGATAAGCTCAAACCATTTCACAGGAACCCTGAGGCCCACCCACATGACTGGTGTGAGAGACAGGGACTATTCACACCAGGAGGAAAATATACAGAGAACTTCAATAAGCCATTCAAAAGGTCTGAGGTAGGGAAGAACCTTGACTATCAGTTTATGAGTGTAAAGATGGTGAACTGTGTAACAAAACACGTATGTAAAACTTCTAAAACTGCTCCTTCTCTTTTTTAACCCAGGCTCTACGAACATACCTGTGATCTCAGTCTTTTCCTCTTCAACGATGCACTGCTTGTTTCTAGTGGGGGCACGTCTCATACTCCATTTGAAAGGACTTCAAAATCAACCTACCAGTTCATTGCATCAGTGGCCCTTCACAGACTACTCATAGAAGATATTCCAGATTCCAAATGTATGTATTATTTTCCTCCCAAGAGTTTAATACCTTTAGAAAGCTACATTATACAAAACATATTAACTATTAAAATAGAGAAGCAGGACAAGAACTGGAATTTGACAGCTTGCAAATAATTTCCCAAATATTTCTGGGGTCTCATTAATGTAAACTTTCATCTACCTCTAAAATAGCAAAAGAAAGGAATGCTGGCATTGTCAGACACACACCCTAGACATTAAGAAAACAGCTTTCAAAAATCACAAAGGGGGCTTCCCTGGTGGCCCAGTGGTTGAGAATCTGCCTGCCGATGCACGGGACACGGGTTTGAGTCCCGGTCCGGGAAGATCTCACGTGCCGTGGAGCAACTAGGCCACAACTACTGAGGCTGTGCGTCTGGAGCCCATGCTCCGCAACAAGAGAGGCCGCGATAGTGACAGGCCCGCGCACCGCGATGAAGAGTGGTCCCCGCTTGCCACAACTAGAGAAAGCCCTCGCACAGAAACGAAGACCCAACACAGCAAAAATAAATAAATTAATTAATAAAACTCCTACCCCCCCCAACATCTTAACAAAAAAAATCACAAAGGGAAACACAACCCTACATCACTGTGAAGGATTCTTTGAAGTAGTCTGACAGGAGAGCTGGAGTCCTTAAGCATTACTCTATTTTGCTTGAGGATGTTACAATTTTAGGTTTTCATCTATTACTTTTCCATTCTACTAGGACTAAGTGATTTTTGCAGATTTGACTGTACCTTTTCTTCCGTAAGTTCATATTTAAGAGTTCTTCTATAAAGGATCGATTTGCAAAGGGTATTTAATAACAAACATTTCATTCATAATAATCTCAACAGAAATATCATTTGTTACAAAAAGAAATCTTACTTAAACCTACTGTACCTATTTTTAGTTTTTATCTTACATTCTACTTCCCAATCTTAAAAGGATCCGTATCTCTTTCCTATATTTCTGTTAGGCCAGGCAATCTGATCGTAACACCTCACATTCCAATATTCTTCACTGCATGTGAAAGTAGAACTTAAGGTTAAAGCCAGAACCAAGATCTTAGAGAAGGAACTTATCTAAAAACGTCTGCTTCCCATTAGCTTCAGCCCCATTTAAAATCTGAGGATGAGAAAAAACACTAAATGTGGGAATAAATATTTCACCTAGAAGACAAACTCAGCTAAGAAGGGTTACCCACCCATAACATGTATGACATGTCTCCTTTCACCTCCCCTTAATCAGTTATGCTATATGTCAGAACATCATAACGTTAGCTAAAAGTGGGCATTCAGCTAAGTCGCTGGCTTATTTCTGTCCTGGCTTCATACCAAGGTGGCCTAGGTCTAGCTCTCAGCACTTCTCATCTACAGTTAACTCTTAGTAAAGACCTTTACTGGTCCCAGTACCTTCTGGAATTAAAGAACATTGCATCATCTATCAGTCTTTAAAAATAATTGCTAATTATAATTAAACAATTATAATGTAAAGACAAGACTATTTTAGACTATATTTGAATAATTCAGTAATTTAGGAAGTTATTTTCTAAACTGGATTTGTATTTGTTTGAACCTCTTTTTAATTTTCAAAAAATTCTTCAAGATAACTTGAATTTTAAAACATTTTCTCCTTTTGATTTTTACCTGCAAAGACTAATTAGTGTACCTCAAATATTTTTCTTTTACAGATATCAAGAACGCATTTATTCTTCAAGGTCCAAAACATGAGTGGATTTGTGCTGCAGAAGCTGAGGATGATAAATTCCTGTGGTTGTCAGTACTCCAAAACGCCATCGAAAGTAGTATGGAAAAGTGAGACTGGACTTAAAACACCGGGAGTTCCAATCTGCCCTGGCAAAGACAGACAGCATGTTATTTTCTGTTCCAGAAGATCCAGTAAGGAGCAGAATGATTATTTGTCATGGATGATGGGAGGATGAACTAGGATGACCCATTAAGCTCTTCCTAACTTTTAAACTTCATCATCTATGCTCAATTATGTGAAATGGACAGTAAGAAAAATTTGAGTATGATAGTTTGAACCACTTCTTTTGGTAATTATTTTTCATGAACAGTATTATTTAGAGTAATCTGACTGACAGAACCTAAGACTGAATAAGGATATTGGGTATTTAAAGTTTTGTTTTCTGATCTAATGAAAAAGTCATAATGAAAAGTGTTTCTTAAATGATCAGAGAAATGTCTTTATCTGTTGGTGATTTACCAATTATCTTTAACATTTTCATGAAATAGTTATGGATTTTAAAAATATGTGTAAGAAATACAACTGGGGGCTTCCCTGGTGGCGCAGTGGTTGAGAGTCCACCTGCTGATGCAGGGGACACGGGTTTGTGCCCCAGTCTGGGAAGATCCCACATGCCGCAGAGCAGCTGGACCCGTGAGCCATGGCCGCTGAGCCTGCGCGTCTGGAGCCTGTGCTCCGCAACGGGAGAGGCCACAACAGTGAGAGGCCCGTGTACCGGAAAAAAAAAAAAAAAAAGAAATATAACTGGTACTTTATTTAAAAACTTGTCACATATATCCTTAATATGAATGTACTCCTCCAGAAAGCATTAAAAATATACCACTGTAAAGTACTAAAAATTTTTCTGTAATTTTTAAGTGGTCTTTTGTTGCAAAATTAAATTCTTAGACCTTCCAAATAAAAAGATTAAAAAATTTGTTACACTGTTAAATTAGAAGGCTGTTTGGCAGAGGGTGTGGGGAGGTACCTTTTAAAAAATAAAACTTGCCTGTAATGGAATTTTGCTGAGTAAAAAAATGAAGAAATTAAGACAACTGTTTTAAAACAGAGAAAAATAAAAATAGGTATTGAGTAGTTTTCTGGGTGCTTAAAGCCTTCATTTAATTATTTAATAAACTGAAGCTTTAAACTGTTAGCCACTTTGAAACTTTAGCTGATATATGCAGTAGTAAAAATATTTTTACTTAATAATGGTAGATAAAGTTGTATTAATCTAGGAAGCTTTTGGTTGTCAGTCTCCTTTTTGCTTCAAATTCTCCTTTAAGGAAATGAAATTTACTAGTACAGTCTAGGATTGTGAACTAGGCTATTTTAAACATTTTCTTCTTTCAACAAAATACAAATTCCTTCTAATTCTTAAAAATTTAAATTCTTGTTAAAAAATGTACAAAAGTTAAAATACTGTTTTTATTAGTGTAAATTCACACTTTTGATTCTTTTAAGATATATCCATGCAGCTTAACATCTATGATGCCACACACAGAAGAAAACATTAAAGGAATATCTGCTGTTAGTCAGCAATAAATGCAAACTTACAAATGTGATCAAAATGAAAATATCATCTAATACAAAACAAATCCTGAGACGCTACATTATCCTGAATAGGACAAACTTCAGAAACCCTTTGTTAACAGGAAAAACCTCTCTATGGCAAAAGAATGAGTAACAAGATAGCTCAAGATAAACTAGAAATCTTAAGGAATTTCCATTTATTCTGTGAATAATTAAGGTCCTCAGAAATTTTAAAACATATTACTTGAAAAAACTTGTAGAGGCTGATGAGCATAAGCTTCTAATTGAGAGTTAAGTACATAAACCATGCAAAAAGTGGTGATGTTTGCAAGTGGACAGTACTTACGTTGTTTGTGGTGTCAACACTTTCCCTTTGCTTCTAGGGGACAATTTAAAAAGGCCTGTCTTCACAGTTAATTTTAAGTTTACATGACTGCTGTGGAATTAAAATCTCACACACAAGCAAGTTTAAGTCACAGGTGAAACTGATCAAATTTTCACAAGGAACACAAAATCTGCCCCCCAAGTTGATGTGGAAAAGTCTGAAAGTACCATGTGACTCTTGAAGAATGTTAATTATGGCAGAGCTTATGGTTAATGAATGCCTTATACCATATAGTTCTTTCAAATCAAAAATTAAATAGGAAACGCATTTTAAAGATTTTTTGGATTCTTTATGTTAAGTACTAAACCTAAAGACAAACTGACAGTTTACTTAATTTTGTCTTCTTTTGTAAATATTTCTGAGTCTGTGCTAGAGGTGTAAATGAGAAGCCCGTTCTGTAAATCCAAGCAGTGAGCGGTTCTGGCCACATAAGTATAATGGACCAATGTTACGGATGTACTCCTAACGCTACGGAGCAACAAGGGTGGGCTGTGCCAACAAACACAACATACCCTCCACGAAGTCAACCTGACCCTTTTATTGTTGCAATTAAAAAATAAAAGGTACTTAAATACAATGGTGAACACATAGGGCGAAACAGAATCATAAAATTCAATGTTGAATTAAGCAGTGAGCTGAAGGTTTGGGTCTCCAAATTGGCTTTGAACCCAAAACCGCTTAAAAATGGGTATGTTCACAGTTAACGGCAATTGGCTTATAGGTGAGAGAATGGTCGAAGCTGTTCCAGTTGAACTTCCAGGGAAATTCTCTCCTCAAGAACATCCTGAAAAAGATGCAAAGCCAAGTTACGTTTCAACATGTATAAAAGTGAAGGCACATCTAACAACAGCTCTGCATTCAGTAAAACAATTTAAATTTGTTAAGAAGAGGAAGGACAACTTCATATTTTAAAAGGATACTTTACTTTAGTAATGTAGTTTCTTTATATGTATGTAATGTTAAAATATGATCTTAATTAAATCTTTATTTCTTAAGTCAGGGTAAAAAAATGTTTTTTGTTTCATTATCAGAAAAGCCAATATTTGCAAATGATAGCTACTGATGCATGAATTTTGCATAACGCCTATACCCCCTGTAGTAACCGCAGATGAATCAGTTAACACAGATTCTTTCCCCTCGTGATTACATCTGGTCGTAACAACTCCTGAACCTCCTTTTGAGTTTCAGTTTCACAATGAATAAATGTATTTTGTAATCAGAATTTCTAATTACTGTTGATTTTGAGCAGACTTTTCAGAGAGCCCACAACTTCTAATTCATCCATTTTCCTTTTTTCTTTTTCTCTATCATACTAATAGTATAGTGTTTTAACCAGGATGACCTCTTCCTATTTGGTACCATACTTCCTATTTTCTGTCCTCAGAGATAATGAGAAAAGTGATTTTTAAAACAGCTCCTATATACATGTTGCTATGATTTTCCTTAGTTCTTCAGAAAAACATGCATTAATAAAACTTTCATCTTCGAGGTATGGTACTAGCAAGCTTGTCATGAGTTTTACATTCTTCCTTTACAATGGACCAAATTCATAATCATAGAACAGCTACGAATATCTTCTTTGATCAGAGAGTTATACAAGAATATTACTCCTTTAACATACATTTATCAAATGCCTAACATGCGAGGTTTTGGGGTCAGAGACAAGATAGTTACAAATTTATCTAGGACAGTCTCAGTTTATCTCTGATGTCCTGGCCTATTAACACATCTCTCTCTTTTCTCTCAAAAGTACCTTGGTTTGGGGACTTCCCTGGTGGTCCAGTGGTTAAGACTCAGTCTTGCAATGCAGGGGACACCGGTTCGATCCCTGGCTGGGGAACTAAGATCCCACATGCTACGGGGCAATTAAGCCCGTGTGCCGCAACTAGAGAGCCCACGCGCCACAACTACAGAGCCCACGCGCTCTGGAGCCCACACGCTACAACTAGAGAAGTCTGTGCACCACAACAAAGCGAAGCACCCGCACGCTGCTACAAAAGATCCCGCGTGCCGCAACCAAGACCGACGCAGCCAGAAAAAAAAAAATGTACCTTGGTTTGAACTTTATATGGTCACCCTAAACAGAAATGATTATGGTTTACCCTCAACAAGTTCAGTTTTACTAGGACAGAGAGACAAATGTGCCATAGATATGGACAATGTGATAAAGGCTAGATAAGGAATATGAAAAGAATGTTATGGGACTCAATAACTCTGTATTCATTTTACATTTCAGTGGACTCTTTCCTCATCTTTGTGGTTTACAACCTTGCTACTCAAAGTGGAGCCAACAGTCCAGCAGCATCTTCATCACCTGGAAGCTTATTAGAAATTGCAGAATTCTCAGGTCCCACTCCATACCTGATATAAATCAAAATTTTCATTTTAACATGACCCCTAATTAAGCATATATACATTAAGGTTTGAGAACCACTGGTTTATAAGACATGAATGCTTAATAATGTTGATGAGTCATAAATGATTCTGGCTGTTAGCTTTTTTTTGTAGGGATTCAAAGAAATCATGGTTAGTAATAAGTAAGAAAAACCAACTCATTCCTCTCAAGTACAGATGACAGGAGTACACACTGGCGCTAAGCACCATTTCTATTTAAGGCTTGTCTTTTCTACTTTAGAGATGATCTAAATTGCCCCCATCCCTCATCTTTAGACCTGTTCTTTAGACCATTTTAATAGAATCTGAGTTGTCTTTGATAAAAGGGTAAATTAACAATACTCAAATCATTTTAGCATTAGAGTGTAGAGGGCCACACATGTGATACTGGAGGTATCCGAGGTCACAACATTTCTGCTCTTGGGTCCAATTATGAAAGTTAAACATTTTAGGAATATGATGCCTTAGGAATATAAGGCAATCATACCAGAATTGAGTACAGGAAATTCTTTTTACTATTAAAGGACTCAAAGGCATATGAAACACTTCAGATCTACACTTCTCTTGCTACGTGTAAAGTTTCATACTAGTGTAAGAATTGCTGGATATCCTCCAAGTTCCAGTTCAACACTAAGAGGCTCTGAGTCCATGGAACTTCCCAAATAAAGATTCAGAAACTACATTACCTTTAATTGTTGCTGCAATTCACTATTCAATCTGGCCAAAACTGTGTTGGTTTCCTTATTGCGTCTAATTGACG